TTGATAAATCCATTTCTCCTAATGTATCTTCAACACTTGAGATTCTCTCTTCCATCTCTTCTATTCTGTTGGTAATGCTTGTATTGGTAGTGCCTGACTGTTTGTCCAGCTTTTCTATTTTCTGCCTTTCTTCAGATTGTGTTTTTTTTAGTGTCTCTATTTCAGTTTTCAACCCTTGCAGCGTTTGCATTGCTTCTTGCAATTTTCTGTTTATCTGTTCGTCCGTTTGTTGCCTTTTATGAATTTTTTGGTTTGTTCTTTCTTCCATTTCTTGCATTTTTTGGTTTGCTTTTTGTTCCATTTCTTGGATTTTGTGCTTTGTTTCTTCTTCCATTTCCTGCCTTTTTTGGTTTGTTTCTTCCTCCATTTTTTTCATTTTTTGCTTTGTTTTTTCTACCATTTCTTGCATTTTTTGCTTTGTTTCTTCTTCCATTTCCTGCCTTATTTGGTATGTTTCTTCTTCTAATTCTTGCATTTTTTGCTTTGCTTTTTCTTCCATTTCTTGCATTTTTTGCTTCATTTCTTCTTCCATTTCGTGCCGTTTTTGGTTTGTTTTTTCTTCCAATTCTTGCATTTTTTGGTTTGTTTTTTCTTCCATTTCTTGCATTTTTTGGTTTGTTTTTTCTTCCATTTCTTTGAGGGATTTTCCAATATCCTCTTTTAGGGCCTCTATCATTTTCATGAAAGTGCTTTTAAGATCGTTCTCTTCTGCTTCCTTCGCGTTGGAATATTGGGGTCTTGCTGGTGTGGAGTCTCTAGAATCTGGCGGTGTCATATTTGTTTTTCTGTTGCTGACTGTGTTTTTGTATTGTCTCTTTCCCATCTCTTCCTTTAGTGGGTGCAGAAAGAGCCCCTTCCTGGTCTGGGGACCAGAGTTCCCTTTGGTGGGTGCTAGTAAGTCCAGTAATCTGGTGGTTCTTCTATGCCTTGTCCAAATGCTGGTCCGTGGGTAGAGAAGAAGAACAGGAATCTGGGGCGCTTAGCCTCCTACCTGGTCCCCTGGACCCTATGCTGGGTCCTGTTGTACCTGATCCGGAACAGCTACTCCCCTGGTCTCCCTGGTTCCTGTAGTTTCCTGGTCTCTTTGGTGGGAGAGAAGATCTGGAGTCTGGGGTGCTTGGCTCCCGCCGGGATTGGGAGCTCTGTGCAGTTCCCAGGCGATCTGCAGGCTCTGGAACACAGGCCGGGAAGCTGGCCTGTTTACCTGATGCTCCCGCCGGGATTGGGAGCTCTGTGCAGTTCCCAGGCAATCTGCAGGCTCTGGAACACAGGCCGGGAAGCTGGCCTGTTTACCTGATGATGCCAGAGGGACAGCTACTTCCCTGTGCGCCCAGCCTCCTCTCCTTTCCTGGAATCGTTGGTGGGAGAGAAGATCTGGAGTCTGGGGTGCTTGGCTCCCGCCGGGATTGGGAGCTCTGTGCAGTTCCCAGGCGATCTGCAGGCTCTGGAACACAGGCCGGGAAGCTGGCCTGTTTACCTGATGCTCCCGCCGGGATTGGGAGCTCTGTGCAGTTCCCAGGCGATCTGCAGGCTCTGGAACACAGGCCGGGAAGCTGGCCTGTTTACCTGATGCTCCCACCGGGATTGGGAGCTCTGTGCAGTTCCCAGGCGATCTGCAGGTCTCTGGAACACAGGCCGGGAAGCTGGCCTGTTTACCTGATGATGCCAGAGGGACAGCTACTTCCCTGTGCGCCCAGCCTCCTCTCCTTTCCTGGAATCGTTGGTGGGAGAGAAGATCTGGAGTCTGGGGTGCTTGGCTCCTGCCGGGATTGGGAGCTCTGTGCAGTTCCCAGGCGATCTGCAGGCTCTGGAACACAGGCCTGGAAGCTGGCCTGTTTACCTGATGCTCCTGCCGGGATTGGGAGCTCTGTGCAGTTCCCAGGCGATCTGCAGGCTCTGGAACACAGGCCGGGAAGCTGGCCTGTTTACCTGATGCTCCCGCCGGGATTGGGAGCTCTGTGCAGTTCCCAGGCGATCTGCAGGCTCTGCCAGGTGATGATTCTTTATTTTATGCAGACTAAAACATTATTAAGAATTGTGAGTCACAATTCTCATTTTGGTTTTGAGGTACTAGGAATAGGATATAAGATTTATTAATGAGGACTGGGGGCAGAGATTCAGTCCAAGGGAAGCAATACATTGTCCAAAATGACTGTGATCAGTCATACACAATCCTATATGACATTATTAAAACAATTCATAGAATAAATGAAAAAGAATATACTCCCCCTCCTGTTTTCTTCTGTTAGGAGTCAGTAAGGCTCCTTTTTCTTTTTTCTTAATGCTTCATGGGTTTTCTCTTTTGTTTTCTCAAGATAGCATTTCTCAGTAGCTATGAAGCCAGCCCTGGAACTCACTCTGTAGACCTGGTTTCTAGACAAGGCTAGCCTTAAATTCAGAGATCTTCCTTGCCAGTTCCTCCCCAGTGCTGTGATCAAAGTCATGTTATAAGATTGCCTGGCTCATTTTTGATGTTTCTAGATGGGTTATCTTTTGTAGTCCTGGCTGTCCTGGAACTCATTCTGTTGATCAGGCTGGTCTCAAACACTGCCTCCTGAGTGATAGGATTAAAGTGTGACACCACTGACTGGTTAAGGCTTTATGTTTTTTGTTTAAGCAATTTGTATTATGTCTCATGTTTATGGGAGACTTCGTATTTCATTTTAACAAGCTCAGTTGCTGGCATGATCTTGCTAAGCTTTTTCTTTTTGTGGTGGTGGTATTTTGAACCTGAGTCTCACATTGTGACCCAGGCTGCCATTAAGCTTGTTTGCTCTACCTCAGCCTCCTTCTGCATGTGAGTGCAGTGCCCACCAAAGCTGGAAGAGATCCCTTGGAGAAGGTGTTATAGCTGCTTTCCAGCTGCGTGACAAGGGTCCTGGGAATCTGTCTTCTGTTACAAGTGTGTTGTGTTCTTAATTGCTGTGCTGTCTCTAATTCTGCCACTAGTTCTTGCATGTTTAAGGCCCTTTTAGTACGAAAGGAAGGCTGTCTTGTCCAGTTGGATTGATTAGAGCTCAGGAACAGAAGAAAGATAGCACATGACTTATCATTTATTTATTGAGATTTATGTATTTATTAGTTTGTTTTTGTTTTTCAAGTCAGGGTTTCACTCTGTACTTTTGGAGCCTGTCCTGGAACTCACTCTATAGACCAGGCTGGCCTTGAACTCACAAGAGATCTGCTTGGCTCTGCCTCCTGAGTGCTGGGATCAAAGGTGTAGGTCAACACTGTCCATCGAGATCATTTATTTTTACTTTGTGTATGTGAATATGTGCCTATATGTATGCACCTCCTGTTTTCAGTTTTGCAGACACCAGAAGAGAGTGTCAGATTCCCTGAACCTGCTGTTCTAGATGATTATGAGCTGCTAATGGGTGTGGTGGGAATTTAACTGGGTCCCCTGCAATGACAAGCATCTCTTTTGAGACAGGGTTTATCTGTGTGTAGTCCTGGCTATACTGGATTTCATTTTGCAGATCAGACTGGCCTCGAATTCACAGAGATATGCCTGCCTCTGCCTTCCAAGTGCTGGCATTAAAGCCATGTACTCCCACTGCCCAGCTTTAGCTGCTGTTTTTTGTTGTGTATATCTAGGCATGGTTGATTTGTTTCTTAGGTCTTAACTTTGTTCTACTTTATTTAGAGTCTATTGCTGAACTTGGAGTTTGTAGATTCTAGTTAGTATAGCTAGCCAGCTTGGCCAGGGTTTCCCCATGTTTGCCTCTGGGTTGCTGGGATTACTAGAGTTTGCTGTGTTACATCTGCTCTTGTGTGAGTACTTGCTATCCTATTTTTGTTTTGTTTTTCAAGACAGGGTTTCTCTGTATTGTTTTGGAGGCTGTCCTGGAACTCGCTCTGTAGACCAGGCTGGCCTTGAACTCACAGAGATCCACCTGCCTCTGCCTCCCGAGTGCTGGGATTAAAGGCGTGGGCCACCAACACAGAGCTGAGTACTAGGTATCCTAACTCTGGTCCTCACACTTCTATGGCAGCTGCTTCCCAGCCGCAAAGACCTATTGCTTTTGAAGTAAATTATCTTTCATTCTAGACAGAATCACTGTTTAATCCCTGACCCTCTTTCTCCTTTTGGTACTATGGATTAAGTATAGTGTTTCATATATGCAATTGATTTAGAAATATCTTTATTATGGATAATTTATACATGTATAAAATTGAGATGGAGCAACAACTCCAAGGTTATCATCATACAACTTTAATAATTATCAGTTTAAAGTCAGTCATTTCACTGGTCATTTTGTTGTGTCTGTCTATCTATCTATCTATCTATCTATCTATCTATCTATCTATCTATCTATCTATCTATCTATCTATCTAGTCTTTTCTCTTTGTAGCCCTCACTGTCCTTGTACTCTGTAGCCTGGTCTGAAATTCTCCCTGATCTGCCTCTTCCTCCAAGTGCTGTGATCCAAGGTGTGTACCACAATGCCTGGCTTTTTCTCTTTCTATATTTTAGTATAAATTCTGAATCATAAAAATTTTGTTTTGCTCCTTTTCCTTGTTGGGAAAAAGGGGGCTATAGGAAAAATATCCAAAATAAATTCATAATACCTAAAAATACTGGTTGTTTTTCCTAATATAGAAAAATATAATCATGTTGTCCAGTTAATATTTAAGTGCTTGTTTATGGTTCTCTATTGTTAGATTTTAAATGTTTATTTCATTCAGGATCTGTATGAGCTTTCTATATTGGGAATTTGTTCTGTCTTTTGATAGCTATTGTAGTCCTCATTTGCTCTTAGTTAAATAATGTACTTACTTTCAATTTTTCTCCTTTCGTCTTGTTTTTTATTTATATAACACACACACACACACACACAGTCAGTTTACTGATGTTAAATGTGAAATTGTTATTAGAGGGCTAAAGAGCAGGATTGGAGTAATGACATCAGTACCCTCATAAGTAATGTCTTTAGTCATTTTACTTTGCTGTATTTTTTACTTTTTATAACTTAATATTTATCACAATTTTTTATTGCTAGCTTTTGGATTTTGTGAGTATAAACAGCCTGAATCTACCCTCGGTGCTGTCAGATTATTGCATGACCTTCAGATTGGAGAGATGAAGCTATGTCACATCTGCCACGCAGCCTGTGTCCGAGAATGTGCGGAGGGTGTCGGGGATTGACAACACAGAGACTCGTTCAATGATGTAAAGAAAACTTTAAGCAGGCCCCAAAAAGGTTCAAGAAAACATCCTAAGAAAGGCTCACTCCAGAGAAGCTTCTGCTCTCTCCTCTACCCTGGCTGGTTCTGCCCTGACATCAGAGGTGGATGTGGGTGGGTCTGAAGGTGCTGTTAGTCTTTTGACAAGGTCGAGGTCAGGGCAGTTTCTGTGGGCAGGCCTTTTCCAGGAACTTATTGCCCCGGGCATTGTATTGTTTTTAGTAAACATGTTTTTATTAAACATTATCTTACAGCTGCCTACTCCCAGGCCGAAGGGGAAGTGGGTCTCTGCTCAAGGTCTGGTGTCCCCACAAAGCTACTTGTCAAAATTGATACAAAGACATAGGCACAATTGGATGAGTGGAAAGCAAAGAAGAAGGCTTCTAATGGGGTATGCAATATCTTATCTTGTCTGGGTTTGCTTGTTCAGTGTGCATACTTCATATTGCAAAAAGTCTAACATGGGGATTCACAAGATCATTATTGTAATATGTGCTTATGGATTATGCAGGAATGTATTTTTACAGTTTCTAGATAAGTGTTTTATCTACCCACAGAGGGTAGATGACTGTTGGTTTGTTTGCGCCAGGTTGGGATGAAGGTAGTAATGGAGGCTGGACAAGGTTAACTTCCCAGAGAAAACACTTGCACAGACTATTCCAATCAGAGCTATTTTATTAAGGCACCTTTGTAAGTAAGTATAAAATACATTTCAACCTACCCAATGTTTATTAGTTACCCTCTCTTATAGACTCACACAGATTGAGTTTTAAAGTGACTAAAAATAAGTTGTACTATTTAATGTATTGGGGTGACTTTATTTATACCATTTTTTGTTTTTCATTCTAATTGTTATTTTAAATGAGCACAAAGGAGGTTTTTGTGTCTTGTGTGGTAATGTATCTATTGTCTCCTGAGTATATATTTTGTTCATTTTTTCTTTTGTCTTATTTTCTGCCTCCCATCAATAAAAACAGCCTTTGCTCTCATCAATCTTTCATTATTTTTCAAGATAGATATAGCTTCCTTAACCACCCTTATAAAAGCATTGTATATTACATTTTTGTTTAAATTTTTTGTAAAAACTCAAATTTAAGGAAATTAAGATTTACCACCTCTCAAGTACTTTACTGTAGACATTTTGGCCTCATGTTCCTGAAGACATTTTCTTCTGTGTGCATGAATATGGTTTTCTGTTCCCTCCTTGTTTTCTCTGTCAGTGCTGAGGGTAGAGTCCAGGACTCATGGATGACAGGCAAGCACTCTCCACCTCATGATTATAACTTTAATGAGAATATTTTCAATAAAAGCAGGATTAAAACCAGCTATGAGGGTAAAATCCCAGCACTTGGGAGGTAAGGCAGTTGGGGCAGGAGTTCAAGCTCATTTATACAGGGAATTTGAGTCCAGTCTGGGTAACATGAAACTATCAAATAAAAAGAATTTTTTAATAAACAGCTTTCCCCTCTAGTTAATTCTGGTTTTCTTTGAACCCTTAGTACTTAAATAATTTCACTGACACATTCTGTATATATCATAAGGAAAAATTACTGTTGCTTGTTGGTCAGACCCAATCTTAGTGGTGTGGATTTCCTTACTGAGTACTATTTTGCATAATATTCAGGTTTTGTTGTATTGCATAGCTCTTGGGGTTTTGATTTGTTTTGTGTTTAGAAATTTATTTTTATTTATGTGTGGGTGACTGAGTGTGTGTGTATATGTGTACCATTTGCATATATTCCCTATGTAAACCAGAAGAGGGTATTATCTTCTAGAACTGGATTCTATAAGTAGTTGTGAGCTAACATGTGCTGGGAATTGAACTGAACGAGGTCTTTATGAAGAGCAGAGCAGCAAGTGCCTTTAACTCGTGAGTTACCTTTCTAGCTGCTGTTTTGGCTTTTTTCTTTTCTTTTTTTTTAGATAGGATCTCATGTAGCCCAGGGTGGCTTACTCCTTGTGTTGTATGACCTTGAACTCTACCTCCCCAATGTGTTGGGATTAGAGTCAGATGTTATTGTCCTATTTATTGGATCTTAAGTTTTTTGGATTTTTTGTTGATCTTAATTTTTTATTGATTTTACTTGTGTGTATAGATATGTGTGTAGATGTGAATGTGCACATGTAGAAGTCAGAGGATAACTCATGGAAGTTCTCTTCTATAAAGTGGGTCCCAGGGATCAAACTGAGGTCATAAACCTTTGTGGTAGGCTCCTTCTCTTGTTGAGCCATCTGGTGGCACCAGCCTGCAGACTACTTTTTTTGTTACTTGATGTTTTTGGTCCTTATTGTCAATCTATGCTCATCATTAAAATTTTGTCTATTCAGTTATAATTAACATGTCATTTGATTCATATCATATAGCTCTTGTTTGCTAAAACTTACTGGAGAGAGAACACACTATCTACTCCAGATACGAAACCTACAACTAACCAAAATTGAATACCACTGAAGTTCATCTTGGTGAACCAATGAGTTTTATTGGGGTTACTTACAGGAATATGGGTGAGGGGTTTCAGGAGCAGAAATGACTCAAAGATAGGTGTGTCACCAAGGATTATTCCAGCATGGGTGACAACTCAGAAAAACTGGGAAACCTGAAGTACACTGCATGTACAGCCTGCAGGGAGCTCAACAGTTTCTAAGTAACCCTGGTCTAAACCTCTTATTGACCGGTAGACTGGTTTCTGCTTCTTCAGGTAGCTTGTCTAGTCTGTTTTTCTTGTTTTTTTCCTAGATTTTCTCCTTTGAGAGACTTCTTGCAACTCAACTTTATTCCATCTGAGAGGTACTCTCAGATTTTTTATTCTGACAGGAGAATCTTGAGTTTCAGGGACTTCCTGAAGCTATCTTCAGTTGTTAACTTTCCTACTCAAGGAGCATCCCTTCAGGATGGAATGTTTCAATTTGGAAAAAACAACTTTCACACAATAACATTTATCATTTCTTTATTGTATTGTCTTTAAATCCTGTATTCCCATACTCTTTCTCCCTACACAAATATATATGGTCTCTAATATTTACCATCTCTTGTCTCACAGCCCATCACACCCTGTCTGATACTCACATTCTGTACCCTATCCATATCTCTGATTTTCAGTAGAAGAGGAAATAATTTCACTAGCTTTGCTCTTGTACCAACACTATAACCTAGGATAATGTCTTCCAAATTAATAATGGAATGAGTATTTAATTGAATAAGAGTAATTTTGTGGTTAAATCTTGTTTTCCTCAGACTGTGAGGTAGAAAGATAAAAAAGTTTTAACGAGTCAAAGAGGAACATGAAATTTTATGAAAGGAGTGAAGAGTTTTTTCCTAACTAACTTGATTGAAAATATTAAGTCCAGTTGTTTAGACTTTTCCTCATTCACTCATTCATTCATTCATTCATTCATTCATCCATCATCCATCCATCCATCTATCTATGTATTTTCGAGATAGGCTTTCTTTGTGTAACAGTTCTGGCTGTCCTGGAATTCTTTTTGTAGGCCAGACTGGCCTCAAACTCACAGAGCTCCTCTTGCCTCTGCCTTCTGAGTGCTGGGACTAAAGTTGTGCACCATCACCACCTGGCTCTTTCTTTCAACTTTTTAAAGCTGGTGTTTATTAAAATTGTATTTCATTACAGCTAAACAGTCTAGTCCATGACCAACTTGCTGCTCTCTGTCTCCTCAGCAATAAATCAGTAGAGATTGATAAACCTGTTTGATTGTCTCAAACTGTATGTGTTAATCACCATTTATAAAAAACTGATGGGCTGTAGAAATAGCTCACAGGTTTCTTATTAACACTGGCAACCTTTTTAGAGGACTCAGGTTTGATTCCCAGCACACACCAGGCAGTTCACAAACTGCATGTAACTGTAATTCTGGGGATTTGACACCATCTTCTGTCCTCTCTACCACAGTACCAGGCTTGCAAGTGGTACACATGTATGTAGATAAAACACTGAAACAATTAAAAGAATGAATTGAAGACCTGAGTATGCTTGATGAATGCCTCTAATCCCAGCATGTGGGAGGGAGATAGGCTGGTTGATGAGGTCACCCTGGTCTGCCTGTTAAGTCGGGCCAGCCAGGACTAGCACCTATCTTAGAAAACAAAACAAAATAATGAGATTAACTGATGATTGTTGAAATATAGATAATCTCTGGAAAGCCATGCACATTATATCCTGGTAGATAAATTTGCTCCAAATGAATACCTTCACATAATTCCTTCCAAATTCATCTAGTTAATGTTTTCTTTTTTTTTGAGACAGGGTATCTCTGTGGCTTTGGAAGCTGTCCTACAACTAGCTTTTGTAGATCAGGCTGACCTCCAGCTCACAGAGATCCTCCTGCCTCTGCCTCCCAAGTCCTGGAATTAAAGGTGTGTGCCACCACTGCCCCACTCGTATGCATTTTGGATTTGGGGATAGAAGTTGAAATTAGGAAATGGGAAATTGTTTGGGAATTTATTGAGAGCTTTGGTTCAGATTTGGCAACCTGTATAATGAATGACCTTTCTGACCCAAATTAACTTCTCTGCTTCCATGTTCTTTTAATTTATTTTTGTTTTAATGATAATGAGCAATCAGCTATGAAATATAACTTAGCCTTCCTTAGCTTGCTCGCTCTCTCTTTCTCTTTCTCTTTCTCTTTCTCTTTCCATTCCTTCCTTCCTTCCTTCTTGAAAAGGAGTTTGAGAGGCAATCAGCCATTTGAAAGTTTGAGTTGAATTACTTTGTTATAAATCCTTCATGGTTGTAATTCTGCCAAAATAGCTATATTGATTCTTCACTTTTCAGTTTGTTTGGATGGTAATTTAGAGTCTGTGTGTTACTTTTATATTAGCAGGCATTGGAATTTACAGCTCCTATTCTTTTTTTGGTGGGGGTTTCGAGACAGGGTTTCCCTGTGGCTTTGGAGGCTGTCCTGGAACTAGGTCTTGTAGATCAGACTGGTCTCAAACTCACAGAGATCTGCCTGCCCCTGCCTCCCAAGTTCTGGGACTAAAGCCTTCAGGACCATGCATGTCCCAACAATATGCTTTCTAATGGATATTTTGATAGTGTAGAATTAGATATCAGAGGTCAGGTTTCAGGGAGTTGGTTTTGATGGCACATAGCTGTAATATCAGCACTTAGGAGGCTGAGACGTTATAGCAAGTCCTAGGCCAGGTTGGGCTACATGTTGGTATTGTCGAAAAACAATAACAAACAAAACACTCCAGACTTGGGATGTAAATGTAAACCTTAGTGTTACTGGAGCATTGTTTTTCCTATAAAACTTTCAGAGAGGCATAGTATATCATTGAGAATTTGGGTGACTAATGTATAAATTGAAGACCTTATTGTCCTTATTTTACCTATGTAAAATAAGCAGTCACCACATTTACAGTTTAGTACATATTGTTGATAAATAACTTTAATTGTTTAATTACAGCCCTGTGTAAATCATCTTGTCTTAATCTAAGATGCCAAGTAGAAAATTGGCTACAAGGAGATTGGACGAATAGGCAGGTTTGAGAAAGTAAGAAAAACTCTTAATTGAGTGGGTTTTATCTTTGTCATTATGCCTTGTATTACCACTCATAACCTTTTTTTTCTTACTATATGTTCTTAAATGTTTATGGACAACATTCTGATTTAAGTATTTGTGCTTTATACTTTCTAACAGTGTCAGTGTCCCCAATAAGAATTTGTTTAAATTAAATGCTGATTATTATAGAGCTTATTGACTATGTACATGAATATATTTCAATGGTAGAAACTTGTTGTTATGAAATAATTGGTTAAGTTATAATTACTTAAGTAACCACAAAGCAATAAATTAAACTTTAGTAGAGTTAAATGTGTTGTGACCAAAAGCCTGTCATTTATGTGAAACATTATATTTCTTTTTCCTCTTGATATATTGATAGTTGAATCCAGAATGATACCTTAGCAAGTTCTGTACCAATGAGCTATATATCTTTGCCTCTACAAGCATGGTTTTTGTTGCCTGCAAATTACTATTTAGGATATGTATGTGTGTAATTTTGATTAGGAAAATGCTTTTGTACATGTGGTTTTTCATGCTTTTTCCTTCTGTTCTTATTTTTCCCCATGTTTTGAGAAAAAGAGTGAAGTGCATGTGAGATGAAATCAAAGTTTTCATGAAGGCTATAGTATAAATTCTAGTTTTAGTTTTAACTAAATTATGTATATCTTAGAAGACTGTTTATTTCTGCTAAATAGGATCTAGTTACCATCCTGCCTTAGGGTTGTTTTTCTTTGTCCAGAAGGTCTCCTGGAAATGGTTGCTGAAAAGTAAACCTCAGAACCTCTGGAAGAGTATCCAGTGCTCTTAACCACGGAGCCATCTGTCCAGTTCCCCAACATATTAATGTCTAATATTTATTCTTCTGAAAAATTACAGTGTTCCTTTAGAAGCGCATGGATTGTTTATGTCATGAAAAGTGCTATAAACTAATGCTGTGTGGTAGTGGCAAACGCCTTTAATCCCAGCACTCGGGAGGCAGAGGCAGGTGGATTTCTGTGTGTTCGAGGCCAGCCTGGTCTACAGAGTGAGTTGCAGGAGAGGCTTCAAAGCTACACAGAGAAACCCTGTCCCACCCCCTAAAAATGTGTTATAAATTGTATATATTTGTTATTAAGGTGTAGTGAAAGGTTGTATTTTGGGTTTCAGTGTTTTGGGGCATTTCAAGTTTTGTCTTTTACTAGATAGAGTTGTATTACATTAATTACTTTTTATTTTGTCATAAAAGTGGGCCTACTTGGTATGTGTATTGGGAATAGAGTTCCTAGAGTTTGTCAGGTATTAGGTAAAATAGAATTTTTTTTCATCTATTGACATGGAAGGAGAAAAGTAACTAATTGATAATGATAGCATGAGTTATAGAAATACTGTTCTTTAGCAAGAATTATAGCCGAATCTTCTTTTGTTTTTTTGGTTTTTTGTTTTTTGTCTTTTGAGACAGGGTTTCTCTGTATTATTTTGGAGGCTGTCCTGGAACTTGCTCTGTTGACCAAGCTGGCCTCGAACTCACAGAGCTCTGCCTGCCTCTGCCTCTTGAGTGCTGGGTTAAAGGCTTGCGCCTCCAATGCCCAGCAACAAATCTTTTTGTAGAATAGAACAATTTGTTTTTGTGCATTCAAGTACATTTCAAGTGGTGAATATTATTAAGTATGATTATTACTTACATCTTACAGATGTGGAAATAGACCTGCTACTTTGCTTTTTGTTTTTTGTTTTTTTTTGCTTTTTGTTTTTTTTTTTGCGTTTGCTTTTTTTGAGATACGGTTTCTCTATGTAACAGAACTTGTATTGTAGACCAGCCTGACTTAACTCACAGTGATCCCCTGACTCTGTCTCCCAAGTGCTGGGAATACAGGTGTGAGCCATAACTTCTTGGAAAATCCTGCTACTCTTATAACACATTTCCTCTATTTCTGTCAATGCAAGTTTTGGCCTTTGCATAATGTCATAGGTTTCTGGGATGTTTTATGTCATGACATTTTGCTGTTCTATTTGTTTTTTTTAATTTGGTTGGTTTGGGTTTTGTTTCTGAAGACAAGGATTATCTAAATAAAACTGGATGTCCTAAAAAACTCTTTATTGACCAAGCCATCCTTGAATTCACTGATTCATGTGACTCTTGCTCCCTAATGTTGAGATTACTGCTGGAACAATGTTTTTAGGGTCTTTTATCCTTATCAGTGTGTGATGTGTCTAGGGAGTAATTGTTTGTACACATCAAGCATTTCCGGTGTTGATGAACTTAACCCCAAGTTTGAATTTTTAAATTTGCAAAGGTTGTCATTCTATTTACCAGCCTACAAGCATTTCTGAGTCACTGGATAATATGTGTGTGACATTCTTCCTGCTTGTTATATTTATTTTTATCATTTAAATGAATGTAATACTTTGTATACATACATTGATGTGTAAGTCATGTGTGCCTGGGCCTCGTAGTAGTCAAAAGAGGATCTTATAATGCATGAGTTTGGTATAATGGATAATTGTGCTCCTTGATATAAATAATGGCATGTGAGGCCACAATATATAAGTACAGTAAGACATCTTAATGTCTGTGGCATCTCTCCTACTGTGTATTGACTTTTATGACCAATGTTTACATTGATAATGTCTCCATCCTTCTATGATTAAAGGCTTAAATGCACAGTTCCTTGTAGTGAAATTTATTAAAATTACAATTTAAACTGGAGCACTTCATGTTTCATAAATATGTACACAGAACAGGAATGAATGCATAACTTCTTACAGGAACTTCAGAAGAAATACACCACTAAATTCTTCCTATTTTTATTGTTTGTTTCATTGATTTTAGTATGGTAGACAGGTTCTTACTATGCATGTTAGGCAGATATACCTATCTCTTCCTTCTAAGTGTTGGGACTAAAGGCTTGCTCAACATTTTATAGTAAGTAATAATTCACACAATTTCTCTAATATATCTTCAGTTTGTTGATCTATTTACATGTCTTTCTGTGTCTGTTACTAGGCATTTCTCTTGAGAGATAATATCCCATTCAGAGTATTTAGAATGATAGAGGTAAAACCCCATCAGTCTCCTTCTAAAGTGACTTAATTATAATACCTGCATCATAGATTAATTGTGGGAAACTGCATAATTATGTAGGTATAATGTCAAAGAATTATACATTTACAGTGGTGTCTTTATCATGCATTTTTGTTTTATACATTTATGGCACATTTTAGGATGCACTGTCCTATCAAGATTTGCATATCAACTTCACTCAAGAAGAGTGGGCTTTGCTGCATCCTTCACAGAAGAACCTCCACAATGATGTGATGCTGGAGACATATATGAACCTCAATGCTAGAGGTAATACTGTGGATATTCTTTCACTATTTTAAATAACAGTATCTTAGTTATTGATGCCCTTCTGTAATTTTGAGTGAGAATGAGGAATAATGATTGAATAAATCAATCATGTTTCTAATTATCACTTAGTATGATCAGTTAAATATTAAGGAATAGCCAATCATAAATCATACATTTTCTGGCATTATATTTTAGGCTACAAATGGGAAGATAATAATATCAAAGAACATCATCAAAATTCTCAAAGGCATGGAAGGTAATTTTCACGTGTATACTGATATAAATTTGCCTGTGAAGATACTTTAATGTATATGGAGTTGCAAGGAAAAGCAGCACTATAAATAGTTGCATCACAAAGTGCATTGATTATTATTAAATTATCATGAGAACACATACATATACCTCAACAGACAGTAAGTTAATTGTTTTAAGTCCTCTTTTAGGAAGGAAGATAAGATATGAATGCCTTAAAACCATTTGAGTCATAGTTCCATTAAAGGTATGCTGATGAAAATTATAAATCCATGTAGTTTCATACCACTCATATTACAGAAGATATACATATTGAAAAAGTGATAAGTCTATTTCCAACCCTTCTCCTAAGCAAGTAGTCTACAGTAAAGCTACTTTTACTCATACAGATGTTATGATTTTGCTAAGTAGAGTGAGATAGATGGTTAAAATCATAATTTTATGTGGAGGTGGTTATATAAATACTTAATCCCTATACCTTATGTTCATGAAGAAGAGAAAGACAAACTGCCTGATTGCAGTGTTGAAAGCTTATTACTTCTTAGCCTTCCTATAGTAGGTATATCTTATGTGACTCTGATTACAAACCACCTAAACATAGGCACATGGAAAGGGGTAATGTACTTCCAGAACAGTTGAAGTATGTAGTAGTCTTCATGTCGACCAGAATTGATGATTCAAGTTTACAAGTACTTGGTTTTCCAGCTTCATTGGGAATACATCAACATTCTCATATGGCAGATATGCCCTATGCATACAAGAAATATGTAAATATTTGTAATTGTCTTTGTTCATTTTGTAAATGTAGTTGGGGTCACAGTAGAGAAAAAGTTGTCAATGTAAAAAGTGAGGTAAATGTATTAATTCTTTCAGTTCTCTTCAAATATGAGAAAAATCTCATGGAGAAAAAGGTGCCATAGATGTGAACAAGGAAATAAAGGTTCTTAACAGGACAGGCATCTTCAAACATGGAAAACAATCCTCACTAAAGGGTAATACCATGAATTAAAACAATATTAAATAAGTTTAATATCTGATTAGCTTTTAAAATTAGAACAAACTGTAAAATTTATTCATAGTTATAAATACTCAACAGTTTTGTTTTTTATTTCTTTAATCATGATTTCATTTCACATTCCAACCACAGTTGTGTCTCCCACCCCTCAACTTGCCTCCTTGCCCCCTGCCTTCCTCTCTGTCCCCCTAGTCCACTGCTTCTCAGAGGTTATGAATATTGTATATCTTTTACATGTCTCAATTATCCTTGCAGGCATGAAAGACGTCCAGTGAGAAAGCAACCTTCTGCACATATTCAATGTCATAAATTCTTGTTATATCTGCATCCACGTGAAGAAAGAACACAGACTGGAGTGAAACTCCATAAATGTGATCAATGTGGTAAAGCCTACCTATGCCACACTGATCTTCAAATGCATAAAAGAACACATATTGTAAGGAAACCCTATGAAGGTAATCAGTTTGGTAAAGTCTTTGGTCAGCTCAGCCTTCTGCAGATGCATAGAAGAAAACATACTGGAGCAAAGCACTATGAATGTAACCAGTGTGGTAAAGCCTTTGCTCGGCACAGTAATCTTCAAGTACATAAAAGGAAACACACTGGAGAGAAACCCTTTGAATGTAATCAGGGTGGGAAAGCCTTAGCTCAGCACAGTTCTCCTCAAGTGCATAAAAGAACACATACTAGACAGAAACCCTATGAATGTCTTCAGTGTGGAAAAGCATTTGCTCAGAATAGTCATCTTCACAGACATAAAGTAACATATACTGAACAGAAACCCTATAAATGTAATCAGTGTGGTAATGCCTTTGCTCAGTAAAGTTATCTTATGTGCATAAAAGAACACATACTGGAGTGAAACCCTATTAATGCAATAAGTGTGGTAAAGCCCTCACCTGTCATAGTAATCTTAAAAAACATAAAAACATACATAATGGAGGAAAACCTATTGGTGTAAGAATTTTTATTTTTTATAACAATAAATTCCAGGGTCAGGTGTCAAGCTAGATTCTGAAAGATCAGAGAAGCAGTGCAATCAATCACTATAACAACAAAATCATTCAAACAAATGTGGTATCCTGTCTCCTAGAATCTTCACGCTGAATGCCATCTCTATTAAACCTCAAACTGATCCCTGAATTTCATACATTCCTCTCTTCACTCAGCCACATTCTTTCCTGTGTCCAATTCCTTAGATCTGCGGTTAAGTTGGGGCTATCATCACTCAGCTCTGGTTCTCATTTAGGTTGATTCATTCTCATCTATTACATGGTGGCCTTGAAGTCACCGGCCCCATCTGACTCTATCTCCGTACTGTTGGGATTTAAAGTGCCACCAGTACCTGGCCTGTAAATCTAACCAGAATGGCTGGTGCTCATCTTCAGGCAAACTTTTATTGTAAAAGGAAAAACAAAGCATCACCACACACAATGAAAGTAATAAGTGTGGTAAAGACTTTGCAAGCAACAGTCATCTCCAAACACATAAAAAACATATACTGGATATTCTATGAATACAGTCATTGTGCAAATCCTTTTGTATGTATCAAAATCATGACAAAATGATACTGCAGTGAAAACATATAAATGAGGCAGTGTGCTCAAGTTTTGTACTGTATAGATGTAAAACTATGTGTGCAATCAATCTGTTGAATCTTTTCCAAATTACAACAGTCTTGAGTATTTTCAAGGTTTTATTTTGTAATAAATATACAGTAGGTATTTATTATAAAATATTTGTTATAGGCCAGGCATTGTGGTGCACGCCTTTCATCCCAGAACTTGAGAGGCAGATTCAGGTAGATCTCTGTGAGTTTGAGGCTAGCCTGGTCCATAGAACGAGTTCCAGGACAACCTCCAAAGCACTACAGGAAAACCCTGTCTCAAAACAAAAAAAATGATTTGGTATAATCTTAGGTGTTGGGAACCAGTCTCCAATTGCCTCCTAGGACATACAGAACTTCTGGCCACAAGTCCAAGCTAATTAGAACAGTTATACAGCCAGTTCCCTTAAAGCTTATAGTTGCCCTTAACAAGAAACAAACCTCCCCTATCATGCTCAATCCCAAAGGCTAAACATACACATTAGGCTAGCCACGAGGCACAGTTTCCAAGGCAACCGTTCCTGCACCATTTGGGCCCTACCAGACATCCTCCTTCTGTGGTTTTCTAACATGCTGCCTCCTTTGCAGCTACATGCCAACTATCCCCAAAACCTACCCCTTCCAAACCTGCTTAACTGACTGTATAGTTAGACCAGCAAAAAATAAAATTGCCACTTGCCTGTCTTGTGTTTTTATCTCTCGTGCCTCCTGCCCCACTATTTTCATTCTTCACTGGTCTCCACTCCATGTTTGGTCCCGGCTGGACTGGGAAATTCAGCCAACAGACAATTATATTGAAAGACCCCTACCCAGGGACCCTAGGAAAAGAAAAACAAGGCCAGGCTGTTGCCCAATTAAAAAACCCAGACCAGGTGCCTCGCCCAGCTGGCAGAATGTCAAACAGGATCTGTGGTCACCAGAGCAGTCATGGGACCCGGATAATAATTGCTGAAGCATGCCGGGGTCTTTCATGAGGTAATACCAGGAAACTTAGTCCGTGGGAACTATTCCTGCCCCGAAGATGAGCCAATGAAATGCCTGTTGCTATGCTGATACTTATGTAACCATTACAACTCTATAAATATTGTGCTCCCAGCAAGCCCGGTATGCTCTGCACCTGAGTTGCAGTAGCATCCCCAGGCACCTGAGTACTCAATAAATCACCTCTTGCATTTGCATCCAGTGGTCTGGCACCGGTTCTTGGGCAGAGGGTTCAGTTCAATGTCTGGCACTTTGATACAGAGGTCTTTCAGTATTTATTCTGCAGAGTATAGTAACTGTGACAACAGTATGTACAAGCAATATGTTGTCTGTTTCCCTGTTGTTTGCACCAGTAAACTCATGGGGAAAAACAAATTTGTGGACTGCTGAGATTATGGTAAATGGATCAGTCAAGGAATACACCCTGACCCTGAAGCCAGAGGCACTGAAATAGGAACAGAATGGACCATAAGCAAAAGCCATAAAGAGTCACACTGACCTTGAATCCCTAGTGAAAGGAACACACTTCGTCACTGAAAGCAGACCCACTGAAAGAAACACCTCTACTTTGACACCAGAGACAAAGGGATAAAAACGACAGTGAAAGAAACATTTTGTCCCATAAACCAGAGACAAATAAACACACTCTGTTCTTGACCAACTGAGCATTAACCCAACAAATCCCTGATCTCAAATCCATCGAGTTCCCGAGCACAAAATCCAGACATTATCTTGAGATTCCCAACTCAACATTTTTAGAACCCTAGCAACCAGCCCAGCATAGAGTAACTTGTTCTTCTTCCTTCTCCTGAGAAAACGGTGACCTCAAGATACACATAAAAGATAACACACACTTATCCAGGAGCTAGCTCACCACATTCCTGATGCATCGGGTGCCTTGATCAGTGTTTAACTGTACAATTCCCCCAAGAATGCTTGCTCAAAATAACTTAGGACCTTCCCGTTAAGGTATGAGCTATCACCTAACTTCCCCATCCTTTATGGTGTTTACCTAACTCCTCCATTCTTTATGATTTTTTCCCTTTTAAAAGCCCCCTACTACTCCCATAGAACAATGTGAGGTGCACTCTCACCCTGATATCTTGGGGAAGGGTCTAGGCCCTGTCCTATATGAAATGACAGACTATGGACACCCCCATGGAGGGCCTCACCCTCCCTGGGGGAATGAGGGGATAACGGAGGGGGGTTGGGGGGAGGACACGGGAGGAGGGGATGGAAAGGGAGGGGGACCTGAAACTGACTTGTGAAGCAACCTTGTTTCTTATCTAAATTTAAACTGGAAAATAAAATAAAATAAATAAATAAAAATAAAAGCGCCCTACTGGGCCGGGCAGTGGTGGCACACAAATTTACTCCCTCTGACACTGCGAGGGTTACAAGCTTGGCAAAAGTGCACGGGTTCCCCGAATAGACCTCGTGTGCTTGCATCAAGAATGATCTGCCTTGAATTATTGGGGCATTGCCTTATCCCAAGATTTGAATGATGGTCTCCCTACTATGGGGGTCATTCAGTTTGAGTGTGTTCAAGCTCAGTTCTTCAAAAGAAGGTCTCCTGGAAATGGTTGTGAAACTCTTGGCTGAAGAAAAATATTTGGCTCTGCTTCTCCTGGCAATCATGTAATTTTCCTAATAACTAATGCTGACATTTTAAACAAAAGAAATAGATGAGAAACCATCCCTGTAGATCTCTGGAAATCTCACTAGTGCCAGATCTATCCTCAAACCTATAATGGCTCTTTCTATTATGGTATATTATCCCCTGTTCCTCCCCGGACTCACCCTTCCTGCTTCCCCATGCCATCCTCTTCCTTCTCTTCTCCCCCTCACTTTCCCCTGGCTCCTAGACCCCCTGAATATGGGGGTCAATGCGGAGGCCTCTACAGTCTTTGGGACCTCAGGTACCAGATCAATATTTATCCCTGGCATAAAAATGGACTTGGGAGCACATTCCATATGGAGAAATCCTCTGTCAGCCTGGATATATGTAGGAGAGTTTTGTCCCTGCCCCAGATGAAATGACAGACTCTGGAGATCCATCATGGAGGGTCTGCCCCTCATTGGGGAGTGAAGCAGATATTGGGTGGGTGACTGGGAATGCTGGTGGAGGGTGGGGGAAGAGGGGAGGGAGAGGGGGCAGGGATTGACATGAGAAGCAAGATTGTTTCATATTTGAAAAAGAAGAAAGAAGTATGCATTTATCCTTAAACAAAGACAATTTTGTGTTTTGATTAACCCTGAATGTTCTTATGTTAAAGATTTCCTCATTACTGTACCAAGAAAAAATAATGTCACCTGTATTTGTTAACTTCAAAAAACATCCCTTTAGATTGAATCTGTATGAAAAATACCCTTGCTTGAAAACGGCAAAATGAACTCAGGATTCATTCTGCCTCTGTGATTTTCACCAGCAAACCCTTTCCCACCTAGTCTTTGAGGACCCTCATCCAATTGGACTCCCATGCCCTGTTGGGGGTAGTCAATTTTACCTGGCACCCTAAACATGGATTTCACTGTAGGTATGCCTTATCTTCTTTTTCTCACTTTTTTTAGTAAAAAACATTTTTTAAGTAAGTATAGGACCTCTCCAGAGTGCTGCACAATTTTCAATATAGAAGACATTGAGTTCAGATGGTAAGAACGTAAGCATCATGGGGCATTCACAGTAAAAAAACAGAGGTCTGTTCCCAGAAGTGTTGAGCCATATGTTAGAAAGAAAAAATGGTAAATCCTCAAATAAGTGTTTGTCAGCATTTTATGATTTTTTATTGAATGTCAGTCCATGGTTCCCAGAAGAAGGAAGCCTGTCTTTAGAAGGGTGGATTAAACCATCATAATAAATGAGGAAATTTTATGAATGCTGTGGAATTAAAGATGTCCTGGTTCAGGCATTATCATTATGGGTACAAATTAAAGACTTCCTTTCAGAAAAATCAGAAATGGAAATCTTTGCAGAAGAAGCACCCTCAGAGCATTAGTCATTACCTATGAGGACAGTAATTAAGTCAAATAATGCTTCCTTGTCTACTGCTAATCTCAATGCACATCCAGGGGATGATTGAATGTTTGATGAGGAACAATAGGAAATGTATGATGAAGTAGAGGAAAATGATATTGATTGTTTTTATGATAAAAATCCTTATAAGACAGAAATTGGGGATATTTTTGCCACAGCCATGGTTCAGTTTCAAA